ATTTCAAATTTCAAATGATTACGCACCTTCGAACAGCGAATGAATGAAGTGACTTTTCGCGCATGAGCATGAGATGACATTTGGATTCAAACTATTCAGAGAAAACGCCAATTCCCCCGACAAAACCCTGTGGAATTATTTCTCTTGATATCTAGAGAAAATATTCCAGAAGAAAATTTCAAAAATCACATTATCTGTGTGTCAAGAGAAAATGACGTAATTTTCTCTAATGAACTAATTCTCCTGTTTTCAAAAATCAAGCCCCTGATCACATTTTTTATTAAAAAAAAAAAACAAAAAAACATTTTATTATTAATAAAAAAATGTGATTATATGATGATCAGACATTATTATGTTATATAAATAAATGTGAATGAAATATCTAATAAAACACACTAAAAACACAAATAAAACACACATCAACACTCGCCAAACCTAACCAACAATAAACAATAAACATGAACAAGAATGACATGAAATGATTCATAATTGCAATTGTCAAAATTTATTCTACAAAATCTTTGTGGCGACATCTATAGACTCTTTCCCCAACTTGTATATCCATCTCAAGCCACGTGGTTCCCAGAGTTTCCCCATTTTTTCAAGTATAAGTTCTCAGGCCCTGATCAGGTCCTGATCAGGTCAGGTCAGGTATTTTACGATTGAACTGCTGCATTCAGAAAATTACGTCGACGATAATTCCATATAAAATAATGTGCTGAATCTTTTCGTTAGTCTGGTTAACTGATAAAATCCAATAACTTAGAAGTACTTCAATGCGCTTAATAAAAAAATATATATAATTTAAGATTTAATTAAGTGACCCTCGAAAGGAACTCAGCTTGTAACTTGAAGTGTCATTTTTTTTACTTTTATGAAATATTTAGAGGCTATGCTATGTGAGATCAATTATAGACATTATTATAGTGCAATGAACATTTTCAATTAAATTAACTAATCTTATAATAAGAAATTGAAGTGTTTAAGGATCAATTGTGTAAGATTTCTATGGATCTACCAGGAAAATTTGACAAGAGTATGAGATTGAAAAGATATGGTGTTTGTTTCGTGATATTGTTCATATTATTCGTTATTTGGAAACTATCTATGATAGAAACAGGTATGCATAAGTACTTATATATTATAAAATATTCTAAATGTTGGGTTCAACTCTAGGCGTGGATAGGTTGCAGTCTATAAAAGAAGCTTTAGAGCTACATAAAGAAACGCTACATTTATCTCAACAACAAGTCTTATTACTGGAACATTTAGAAAATAGCAATAATAACGAGAACATCAATCTTCCAACAATATATGCAATTACTCCGACATATTGGCGACTTGTTCAGAAAGCCGAGCTTACTAGAATATCGCAGACGTTAATGCTTGTCCCAAATGTGCATTGGATAGTGATTGAGGATTCAGAAACAAAGACAGATCTAGTTCGTAATTTAATTCTCAATTCAAAATTGATGGTCACACATTTAAATGCTAAGACACCTCCATTCGAGCAACTAAAAGACAAGGTAAATAAAATAATCTTATATTTTCACAAGGTAACCAAGTTCTTTAAATAAAATATTACCTAAGTAATAATGGTGCAGGTCAAGGTTCATTATTCTGTCATAGCTAAATAAATTTTAAACATGACATCATAATTTAACATTGTTATAAACATTATTTGTTGAGGATCCACGATGGAAACGTCATCGAGGCGTGGAACAGAGAAATATGGCTCTCAAGTGGTTACGTGAAAATCTTAAGGTAAATAGAGGCAAAGGGATCGTTTTCTTTATGGACGACGATAATACTTACAGTATCAAACTCTTCGAAGAGGTAGGAGAGTCACTAAAACGTTATAGAAAATGTAACAGGCTTATCTTTTAGATCGCTAAGGTGAAGAAAGTAGGAGTTTGGCCCGTTGGACTAGTGGGAGGTTTGAATGCCGAAACCCCTATCATTGACCAGAAAACTGGTCTGTATTCATTATTACGTGATTTTAACAATGATGTATGTTATTATATTTTCAGGCAAGGTAACGGGTTATAAGAGCGGCTGGAAACCGGATCGTCCGTTTGCCATCGATATGGCAGGATTCGCCATAAACGTGGACCTCATCCTGTCTAAACCCGAGGCGCAGTTTTCTTACAAGATGGAGAAGGGACTGCAGGAAAGCGAGTTCCTCAGTTACTTTACCACCAAAGAGGAATTAGAACCGCTGGCGGACAATTGCACCAAAGTGTACGTCTGGCATACCAGGACTGAAAAACCCTCGGTGAACGGTGTTGTGCCCGGTTTAGAAGTGTAAGAGGTAGGAGAAATTTTCTTTTAGTCGGTTGTTAAATATAAAATCTTTATTACGTGAGGAGAAAAACAAATCGTGAACAAAAATTAATTGACTGGAATTTAGAAGGAAAACCGGTAAAGTAATAATAATGACACAAAAAAAGAAATTATTCAAGTTCCATTTCGTATTATTTTTTTTACGTTAAATTCGCCTAAAGATTCTAGAGCTAAGGGATCAGTAGTATGACGGTAACTTTATATAATGTAATTTGCTCATTAGTATAGAATTGTTGAAATTAGTTTATTTGTATATAGATAGCAATAAAGTCACATGCGAGACAAACATTTTTTATCAGGCTTAACTTTAATCAGATAAATCGAAAATAAAAGTATGCGCGAAATGATATTTGCACGATTAAAGTAATAAAAAAATAGAATCTAATACTGTAAAATTGATACAGTTTTATTCAAGCCTATGTTGATTGCAGCGGGGTGTTTGCAAGAAAAAAAATTAAGTGTACTTGTCACTCGACGAAAGTCGGTGCGAGCTGTGCAAAGAATTTCCTTTATAAACATTTATTTGATTGTAAAAATTGAATTGTACTCCATTGTTATCAGCTTCTGACATTTTAGACTAGGAACATGTCATTATAGAAAACTACATATTTAAGAACGGCAGTATTGTGAAATTTTAGTTGTGCTTCTCGTTAACAGATGGCGCTATTAACGAAAGCGTATTCTAGCAGGTCACAGCTGTGTCTGGTTAATTACTGGTCAAATTTTTTTACCATGTTTATATTTGCAAAAATGACATACACCCCTTTGTTCGTAATTAAATATGTATTGATGATGTCGATTATTACATTATAAAAAATAATAGGTCACACACATATCTAACTTTAAAAATTATCATTCCTATGACATATTGGATAGTCTGTGATCTTTCAAATTAATATGCTTAACATTTTTTTATGTAAAATTTGTATTCCATATAAACTTTTTATTTGTCGTAATGCTTTCTACGTTCAGGCAAGACTGCGTGCCGAATATTGTGTTATTTGTAATTAAAATTTTGTCGTTATACAGGATGTTGTAGGATTGGATTTGAAAATGACTATCAAATATTGAAAACGACCAATTTTCTCTGCTTTTTCAATAATTCCTTTTAAATCAATATTTTAATTGTCAATAGTTTACTTTAATTTTTTTTAAACGGACAGTGTTAACAATTTAGAGCAAATAAAAAGACAACTGTTTAAATAACATCGTTATTCTCGTACATTTTACTTTTTGTTAAACTTCTAAAGTCAAGTTATAAACTGTTTAATATTTATATAAAATTTGTTTTTGTTTCACATTTTAATAGACGATAAATGTTTGGAAAAGTTCACAAATGCTCAAAATTCGAGAAGAAACAATTTCGACACAATCTATGCACTGATATTTTATGAGTTATGAGTATCTACCATCTACCTAATACAGCCGTAAAATACAGAGTGATTCAGAACATCCAAAAAACTTTTAAATATAGAGGGGACTTACAAATACAATTTTGTAAAAAAAAAATCAAAAACGGCAAAATATAACACCTATTACACTATTAATTAATAATGTGGTTTTAATAAATAAAATAATTTAACATACCTGATGTTAACAACTGTTCAAAATTTTGTCCTCTGATGTGTAAACACATTTGGGCCCGTCTTACCCAGTTTCTATGAACTAATGCTTCACATAAGCCATTTTTGACACTTGAAAACTAATGTAAACACTATCGCAAAGACGTTAATACTAAAATAAGATTTCAGTATTCGAAATCGCCTGGGGCAATGTGGAGAGAGGGGGCATAGCGTGGATAAATTGTTCCATAATTTTTTTCTCGAAAACTAAGGATTTTACAAATATTTTTCATGACACATCTATTTCTAATTTTTTTAGATAAGTTGTGAATCACCCTGTATACAAGCAACTATGTAGGCTTGTATTACCTAATTTTTTCACATCATAGCCTCCAGAAAGCTACAAATGTTTTGTCATATTGTTAACACTTCCGTGCCTATAGGCCGGCCAATCGAGCGAAAAAAGTGGCTGTTTTTACACTTCAATATTACAGCAAATTCCATGTATTTTTAAAAAAATTCTTAGTAAAATTAAAACCCAAGTGATTTCCCCAGCAAAGTCGTGAACAATTTTTTTTAAACAATAAAAACTGCAAAAAAATGACATTTATTTGTTTTTTTTTTTTTATAATGGAATTGTCTTACTGTCAATAGGACTTTTGTAGAAAATAAAAAACCTATAAAATGTTTTTTTGTGTGACCCGATCGGTTCATTTTTTACAGAGAAAATCGGAAAAACCTCTAAAATAGACCTTTTTTCAAAAATTCATTACTCCAAAGAGTGACCACAAAATCCGCCTGTTTTTGAGACTTTGATAGAGGTGACAGGAAAAATCCTAAAAATATTCTAAAAATATCCAAAAACTTCATGAAAAATAAAAATGGGCATCACTTTCAGTTTTTCGAAAATTTTCGAAAACCACCCTTATTTAGGGGTTGAAAAGACAAAAAAAGTGAACAAATTAAGAATTATCAACAGTTGTAAAACCCCAAATATTTCTATGTTATCAAAATAATATTATGAACGTGAAAACATCCAATTTCGTATTTGATACGGTCTTGTCCGGATTGAAAATCAACCCTTAATATCCCTAAAGGGGTGAAATCATCCCCTAAACGCCTGAAAATGCAAAAAATATATTAAGTTACAATTTTTTTTCTTTTACTTTTATACTTGATAATTGAACCGTTAATAACCCACAATCACTAGATCCGAAGGAAGATACTCCTAAATTAGGATAAAACCACCCCTAAGTTCAACCATATACGTATAAAAGAAAAAAAAAAAAATTGTAACTTTTAATATATTTTTTGCATTTTTAGGCGTTTAGGGGATGATTTCACCCCTTTAGGGATATTATGGGTTGATTTTAGATATTTCCACGTTCATAATATTATTCTGATAACAGAAATATTTGGGGTTTTACAACTGTTGATGATTTTTAATTTGTTCACTTTTTTTGTCTTTTCAACCCCTAAAAAAGGGCGATTTTCGAAAAACAAAGTGATGCTCATTTTCATTTTTCATGACGAGTTTTTGGATATTTTTAGAATATTGTTGGGATTTTCCCGGTCGTCTCTGTCGAAGTTTCAAAAACAGGCGGAAAAATGGCTTTTTTTGCGGTCACTCTTTGAAGCTGAAAAAACAATCTTGCGGAAAATGTCAGATAATAATATGTAGTTTAATTGTGCGCAAGATGGTTTCTGTCCGATGCATAGTTTTTGGACAATTGCATTATAAACAAATGAGGGTCTTTTTTTGCAGAGCGTGGCGATTTATCAAAAATGGTCCGATTTAAATTCTGGAAACGGCATCTGAAAGTAGACGACAAAATCTACAATTTGTACATCTCTGATTTTTGCCTGGGCGATGGGACATATGCTAAAAATGCCCGGACCATTTTTGATAAATCGCCACGCTGTGCAAAAAAGACCTCAATTTGTTTATAATGCAATTGTGCAAAAACTATGAACACGACTAAACTACATATTATGTCATTTTTCGCAAGATTGTTTTTTCAGTTTCAAAGAGTGACCGCAAAAAAACTGATTTTCGCCCGTTTTTTCACAATTCGCAGAGAATTAAAAAAAATATATAAAAATATGTTTTTGGTCACAAATTACTTGTCGTAAAAAACTGAAGTGAGCATAGCTTTTAGTATTTGGAAAATTTTAAAAATCACCCCTACTTAGGGGTTGAAAAAATGCCAAAAATGAGGAATTAGAATATTATCAATTTATATAAAAACTATTAGCATGTGAATTATGTTAATATATATTTTTTTTTTGGAATTTTTACAATTATTTCTGATATTCTCTATTTTTGGGGATGATTCCACCCCCTGAACGCGCTTGAGGGTGGATTTTCTAATTCAACATGCTCAGTCGTGAGAATAAATCTTTGTTTGTATCAAGAATCATTCGATAGAAAAATTCACAAGCTAATAGTTTTTATATTTATTGGTAATATCCAATTCTTCATTTTGGGCGTCTTTTCAACCCCTAAATAGGGGTGATTTTAGAAATTTTTCAAAAAACTAAAATCTATGCTCATCTTAATTTTTTACGAGTAATTTGAGACCAAAAACATATTTTGATCTATTTTCTTTAGTTCTCTGCGAATTGTGAAAAATGGTTGATTTTTGCGGTCACGCTTTGGCGGAGTTGCGAATTTTTGAAAAAAGGTCTATTTTTGAGGTTTTTCTGGATTTTCGGGTCGCACAAAAAACCATTTTATAGATTTTTTTATTCTCTACAAAAGTCCTATAGAGAGTAAGACGATTCCATCATTTTTCAAGATACTATAAAAAAAAAAAACAAAAATGTCATTTTTTTGCAGTTTTTATTGTTTAAAAAAACGACACACGACTTTGCTGGGGAAATCACTTGGGTTTTCATTTACTAAGTATTTTTCAAAAGGAAATACATAAAATTTGCTGCAATATTTAAGTGTGCCAAAAAGTTCGTATTTTGTATAGCGACATCAACACGAATATCGTGGTACTTTATTGAAACAATTGGGGTTCACATTCGGCCATTCTCGTTTCGCCAAACTAACACTGGGCGTTTGTTTTTTATACGCCTAGTGCCATCTTGTCATATCAGGTGGATCGTAACGTATTGTATTGTTTAAGTCGTTAGGTGCGTTTAGAATTAGTATAAAAAAAATGGCTGTGCAAATCTATTGTTTATTCGCTTCCGCAAGTTTAACGTTTCCAATAATTTAGACTTCTGCGGTTTTGTAAGATTTTCATGACAAATACACGTTTTTTTAGGACTAAAAAGTTCTTTTATTCCAATTCCCGTGGACTCCCCAACACCCGCTCCTTCTTCACAAAAAAACCAGTTTAAAAAAGAACATTCTATATTTAAAGGGTCTCACATTTACAGAACTATGTACAGATGACAGATAAGCGGTAACGGATAGATTCAAGCGAGGTCGAGCAGCCTGTTGAGCGACGTCGGCAGCCAGGTGGAGTTGTTCTGCGAGTAGAAGATCACGTTTCTGTCGATGTAGCACTGAACGCCGTTCGAGCCGATCCTGTACACCTGCTTGGCCTCGTGGTACTTGTTGGCCATCGGCACGAATATGATGCCTCGCTCCTCGCACCGTTTCATCACCAGGTCCTTGAATCCCTGGGGGATCTTCGACGCCGTCCGTACGGCTTCCGCGAACGTCTGCGAAAATGCAAGGAATACAGAATTACGTTTCGGAAGAGTTAAAATAATAATCTCAATATTTCGAGACTGAATTTCGAAAATCGAATTGCCTAGTCCGCACCACGATTTCATAGAACCAGCATCAACAGTAAACTTATACACACCTCGACCCTAGGGGGCGGCGGAGGTGGCGCCGTAAGACCGTTGGCTTCGATGTTCTTCAGATACGAGATGGATTCCTTTGCGCCTGGCTGCGAAGCGATGTTGACGGCCCTATTCATCATTTCTAAGGCTTTGTGGAAATTCTCTGCAAAAAGAAATTGTTGGATAACGATTTTAAGAGAAGTGTTCAAAGTATTTCGTCGATATAACTTTTTGGGCAATAAAAACGCACTGGAATAACAAATATCAAAACGTTGCATTTTTCTCACTCGCACGCATATGACCTGAAAGGAAACACCCGAGCTGGAAACTAAGTTCACTTTGAAATTCTCTGCAAAAAGAAATTGTTGGAATCGATTTTAAGAGAAGTGTTCAAAGTATTTCGTCGATACAACTTTTTGGGCAATAAAAACGCACTGGAATAACTAAAATATCAAAACTACGCATTTTTCTCACTCGCACGCATATGACCTGAAAGGAAACGCCCGAGCTGGAAACTAAGTTCACTTCGATTTCTCGTCTCAGAGGTGAAAAACGTCCATGTCTTACCTTTAATAGTGGGCTGGTTGAGGAGGTCATCGGAGAGCATCCTCTTCCACCCCGAATACCACTCGGTGACCTGCGCGTAGTTTGGGTTGTGGTTGAGCCACACGGCCAACGTCTGCAGCCACCTGGGGAAGAAGAACTTGTCCAGGATGAGCGTCATGTTGGGAACCGACAACATATCGTTCCAGTCCATCACCCAATTCCACGGATCTAAAACGCCATGTCAATTTATACCGTTCCGTTTTGTTTTTTTTCGACATAGTGAATCGTCGGTTACCTAAATGCTGCTGATGGGGGTTGATAACGAGGTTCTGCATGCAGACTTGCAGTTTGGGAACGATGTGCTTGAGGAGGAAAGCGACGAACGCACCCTGGGATAGCGCCCTCTGCCACGGTTGCAACATCAGCTTGGCGGATCGGTCCGAGGGGTACCAGTTGCTCAGGGCGGTGCCGAGCTTCTCCTGGATCACCGGATATATCGTGGTTTGCAGCCGGGTGTCTGTACGACGAAATTTTTTTAGTTAAGCCCGACGGAGGACGTTTCGCGGGAAAAAACTTACCTAAAAGTGGGATCCAGGGGTGTATCCAGATGTGGATGGGCGTCGTATCCGTCAGTGGATTCCAGGTGCTGACCTCGGTGAGCAACTTGGGCACCACGAGCTTGTCGAATATGTTGTCGACGATCCACTGCGGCAACAGCGGTTTCCAAGTCTCCATGAGGGTTATCAACGGGTCGCAGTCGCGAGAGTTCCAAGAACTGCAAGAAAATAGCGGAATTGACACAAGTTTAACGACCCAAAAGAGACGAAGCGAGGAACCGATAATTTTGGTGAGTATACAGGTTGGATTCTAAGTTTAATCGTATTTTTTTATTAGCACGTGAAACTCAAAATACACGTTTTTTTCAAATATCATTTTCCAAAATGCCTTCAGAAATATTAATTCCAGTTCGAAGGGAAGTTATTTAACTAAAAATCGCAGTCAAAATCGACGAAAGCACTGAAACGAACGTACGACAAAATAAAAACATTCACAAAAAAGTGATAAACACTAGGTTTCTGTACCATTTGTTGTGAATATTTGGGCGATAGACTTACTACGGAAGTTTTTCTGCCGTATCGGGACTTTTGGATAACCCTGTATATATTCAAACACGCAACTACAGAAGGAATATACAATGCAACGACATTACTTAAAGAATAATATTTGAAAAAAATATTTTTTAGAGTAGTTCTACACGCTGTTAAAAAATGTGGCACGACTTAGGAATGACCCTGTATAATGATTCAAACAGTACGATATAAAAGTTAGAAATATATGAAACGGAAAAGTTCAGCATAATAAAATTTCTATGTATTTGAAGTATTTACGAGGAGCGTTTTTATGCAAAATTATCGGGTAATCGCGTAATCGGTGAACTTAATAGTCTTTTGAAGAGCATTTTAGAAAATCTAAGCAAGTCGGAAACAATATCTCTTCTCTGTACCTGTTATACAAGCTTTCTCCACGGTATAAGACAGTTGACAAGCTGATGATACATTCGGAATAATGAAAAAAGGATATTTTTACTTCTTATTTTTACCGTCGTATTTCCTGAACTTTACACGCCTGTCAAATATACAGAAAATCGTGTACGATACTATAAACATACTCACACCCCGTAGAATGCTTTTATTGAACCATTAACACATCACATTAATCATAATTATTGACCATTTTTACAAAATTCTCGACAAAACATTCCGATATTTACATGGGTGCATGTTTTCCGTGATCTTCGACAGTAAAAAATTAGGATTTTCTTGCTCTATCATTGTCTATTAAAAGTGCGATTTCTTGTCTATAAAATGCTAGTCTTAAAGAAATCGGTAGTTATCAATAATCAGGAAACATTAAAAAAAGAGGTCAAAAAAAAATTTTGAACAAACGCAGCAATCCCGATTTTTTTGCATCTACCGAATTTTTTTTACGTTACTATTGAACTCCTCTACGACCACCCACCTACGTGAAACATGCCCTTCGGCGACACCAAACGACGAAAACCGAACGCAGAACCGACATATAAAAACCGACTGTGGCTAGATCCCATAGAAACAAGCAGAAAAACGCAACTTACCTGACACAAGTTCTCATAACGGGCATCCAAGTATGCCATATGAGACTATCGTACGGCTGTATTCCCATATTATTACCTTCTAGGTTCCCACGCTGCCTGGGCCCGTCCAGGATGTCCCGCCACTGCCCGAAAACCTCCACGTACCGCGTCGGCTGGGCCAGGGGGTTCCAGCTGGCCATCGCCGAGGTCAACAGGGGACCTATCAGGCCCGGGGCGAGTTCCCCCAGCTCGTAGCGGCAGTACTCGTCGAAATGGTCCTCCTAGACAAAACGAACACGATTCAGTGACGATATTTCGTTCGGTTTGTTAGAACTTACTTGCAGGTTCCTGAAAATAGCGCCGATCTGTCCCAAGGAATACCCCTGCATCGGGTTCATGAGCTTCTCCACGGTTTCCATCACGTCCTTAAGATTTTCTATGAGGTCGTCCTCGGAATTTATCACGTCCCTCAGGGAGTTTTCTTCCTGTTTCAGAGCCGTGATTTTGTCCTCGTTGTACCTCGTGTTCCTGTCGATCCTTATGATATCCTAAAAAAATGAGCGTCTCAGTGCTCAGTTGAAGTAATTCCAGGAAAACTGCTGCTAACAGCAAGCACGATGAATACCCCGAGTGATAGTTGTGTGAATGAAAGCACGCTTATTTTTTTTATTCATTGGCACATTTACATTGAAAAACATGTTTCTGACAAATGGACTTACCTGTTCGCACATGTCCACCAAGAGGTCCAAATTGTGCTGTATTTCGGGGAGGGCGAAATTGGAACACTTCTTGTGGACGACATCCTCGAAATGTTCCACGCCCGGCGGAGCTTTTAAACCGCTGAGGGCGTGATAGCCGCTCAGGACTCTCTGTTGCGGACCGGTCATGTCTATCACCTTGACCTTGCTGAGTTCACTAAAAGGTAAAGAAAAACGGGAATTAGGATAGTCCTTTTATGTCCGCTAAAATCTGGAGGCAAAATTGTGCAATATTTTGATGCTGTACATAAGACATTGCAGTGTTACAAAAAGTACGTCGGGCTGTTAATCGTATATTTTTTTGGTGAAGATAACAGGACTCTCCTACACCGTTTTTTCATTTAAGCACATAAGAAAATTGCTACGACTTAAAACGACACAAGAAAACAATGGAGTCATTAATAAAATTCTTTTTTAAACTGTAACTAAATAAAAAAATGGAAGATGTCTCATTATTTCCACACAAAAAATCTGCGGCAAACAACTTAACTTAGTTTTTTGCAACACCCTGTATGTTGGAGAGAAAAATCGTAACAAATATCGCAACAAATAATAAATTTTACAAGAAAACAATTGTGTGACTGTTATAATTCGGGCAAGGAACTTTTCCCACCATTTCGAGGTCCGAGACAGTGGGGAAAGTTCGATCGAAGCCTTTTTGGGATTCAAAACTGAGTCAAAATAAACCCGTGCACGAAATACGTGCACAGGAACTGCTAAATCTTTAAGCGATCGCATGACGGAAATTTAGAGAAAACGAAAAAAAGGCATATATCAAATTCCAATAAAAAATGTGACATGATTTAGCTATTTCGTTTTTACCTTGCGGATCCCAAATTTCTATAAGCTCCAGGACGTTTACCTTTTTCAATAACATCATCTACACTTCGATAATAATATCTCGTCTTCTTCTTCAACGAATCGTTTTTCTTCCATTTCGATTCCCCCTTCCTCTCCTCATTCTCCCCTTCTTCCAATTTTAAGACGCTTTCCTTAAAAATAACCCCGATAAAATAACGTCTCTACCGAAATAAATTCTAATTTTTATATATCCTACCTTCACTTTTGCGATACTAGCAAGTTTTTCTGGACCATACGCTCCTATGGCACCTCTTCCTTTCCTCAGATGTGCCTCCACGGGTGCTGAAATACCTTGCAGATCCTTTCCTAAACCCTTGCCGGGTTGGAAACCCATTTGAAGTAAAAGTTTAGCTCCTATTCCCTTAGTATGCTTTTCCCAATGACCTACACCTTGATTTATCAATGAAGGATTTAGAGTATTTTTACGCCTTAAGCCTGCTATATCGCCGGTAATTTCTGTGACAGTAGATTCGGATGTCTTCTTCGATTTTGCTGTACCAAAACCTTAAAAAGAAAATAATTTTCAGTACAGATGTTGTACTGTAGTGTATATATGTGGTACATACCAGCCCTTGGAAGTTCATCTTCAGATTCATCCGAACTGTCTCGAGTTTTAAATGATGAAGTGGGTGCATCATCATCTGATTCTTCCTCTTTTTTAAGATCGTCCTTGTCTTTATCCTTTTTGCCGGCTTGTTGTACCCCGCCTGCTACAAAATCTATTGGTCCCGAGTAATTTTTAGGTCGCTTTTTCGACACATAACTCCTGGCCCCAGTATCCTCTTCGTTATCACTATCGTCAGCCCAGATACCTAACCAGAATGTATATTTAGATATGTTTAGCCCTAATTTTTCTCACGAAACTTGTTAAAATGTGAAAAATTATATTTTTTTGTTACCATATATCTGATGATGTTTGCTATTTTTTTTACGACCACGATTTCTGTTTATATTAAATTCATTTTCCAGATCGTAATCTGTGATTTCAAACTTTTCCACTTCGTCCTCGGACATTTTAACACTTATTATAGTTCACTAGAGCAAATAATTAAAATTTCATATTTCATCAAAATAAGATGACGCCATTTCGACGTTTCCACCACTGACCACTGATGAATAGAAATGAGATAGAACTACAAATACATCATTCCAATTAATTTTTCGATCAGTAAAGGGGAACGTTCACTTGTGTCGATTGACCAATCAGGCAAGACTAAATAGTTCCAAATTATCATACCGCCCTCTATCGCGCAGAAACTGCACTAGACGGGAAGAATTCTGAAGTTGGTAGCTAACTGTATCAGCTGCATATTCAATGGGGAATTAATTTAACCTTAATTGTATAGATGGCACCACCTCCCAATAGAATTGCGGCCTTGAACACTATTTTTTTAACAATTTACACGGACTATCGATTTTCTAAAAAATTTTTAGGGTTCAGAAATTCTGGTAGAAAATAACGGCCCTGCCCAATCCAAACCTGCATTCAGTTCCTGTCTAGCTCAACTAATTTTCAAGATTTTCGATTTTTTTCTTTACAGGCCAACTTTAAGTTTTTATTTGATAGGCAATATACAATACAACAATAATGTGTACTTGGCGGTTTTCCCAAAATTTTCTACATTTTGCCGGAGTCGCCGTTTTTGTTGTGTAGGCAATATATAATACAATACCAATGTATACTCTTTTGACAATTTTCATGGATTATTATAGCCATCGATTTTCTCAAAAATTTTTAGGGTTCAAAAAAATCCTAAAAAAATTCCGGTAGATAATAATAACCCCCAATTTCGCTCTAGCTCAACTACGTTTCAAAATTTTGGATTTTTTCCCAGGTCCACATAGGTTTTTATTCGATAGGCAACATACAATACAATGCTGGTGCATACTTGGCTGTATTCCCAAAATTTTCTACATTTTGCCCGGAGTCGCCAGTTAAACACAAATTTTTATTGGGTGGGCAATATATAATGCAATACTAATGTATACTGTTTTGACAATTTTCATGGATCATTATAGCCATCAATTTTCTCAAAAATTTTTAGGGTTCAGAAAAATCTGAAAAAATGCCGATAGACAGCAACGTCCTTGATCAATACAAGACTGCATTCAGTTTCTCTCTAGCTCTTTCAGTTTTCGGATATTTTCGAATTCTTTTCTCAATGGAAGCACTTGCACAGAAATAGACAATCCCAGCGTGTTCAGCGACCCCAGGTGCGTACGGTACAACCTTTACAAGAACACTATAATTTTTTGAAAATTTTCATCGATTTTCTCAAAAATTTTTAGTTTTTGGTGTATTAGCCGGTTTGTCCACGATTTTTCGAGATTTTGAGCACTTTTTAGCAGGCGTTATATTTCGTTCTTCTTAAAAGAAGACAAACAATTAATTTTATTAACGAATATTAAAAAAACAAACGAGAAATAACGACTTCATTATCAATCGCCCCTCCCTTTTCTTTTTCTCTCGCGGTGCCGCCGTGCGTCTGGACGCGCAAAGAGCGCCGCTCGGCGTCTGGAGGCCTTCGCGGACGGCAGCAGCGTCAGTCAGTGTCGTCGCCCTCGTCGAGCCGCAGCTAACGTCGCGACGTCCTTCCGGCCATCCCCGCGAACTGTGCGTGAGTTCCCCACGCTCCCTCCTTCCGTGGACTGACCGCCCCATTCATACCCTTCGCGCCACTGGGAGTGAGACAGTTGCCTTGATCCGGAGGTTCGGATATTTTTGCAGGTTCAACGGTCGATTGAAAAAGTTTGTTTCCACCCGAAATTTGCAGTAGCTAATTATTAAATGGGGTGTAAATGTGCAAGAATGCGAAACAAAAGACTATAAAAAATAAAAACTAAAAGAATAATAAAACTAAAAAAATTAAAATACATTAAAAAAGTAGAAATTATCAAAAAAAAAAGAATGATTCTAAAGTATGTTCAGGTAATAAAGAAGGGATTCCATGAAGTTATTTTGAGGAAAAAATGTCACTGTGGACCTATGTTTTACTTAAACGGCTTAGTTTTCGAGATAAAAGGCGAATAGTTTGAAAAATATTACATTTTCGCAAGTATTTCCAGTAAACAACCAGTAATTCCTAATTTATTTACTTAAAAATTTAAAATCGTGTTCTAAATATTATTAATTAAAAAATAGACATGATAGATAAGATTTTGTTATTTCTGCATTTTACTGTAGTGGCCATCTTGCAAATGGAATTAATATTAATAGATATACATAATAACATTATAAATGAAAAAATAAAAATAAATTTTTAAACGATACTATGAAAAATGTTGACAATATGACTAGATTAAAGTGAATTAATTTTTTACCTATTCACTAACTGCCCAGTTTACTAAAATTCTTTAAAAAAATTGCTAGCTTTCGTATTTTTGCTTTATATTAAAGGTATCAGCTTATTTAAGTAAATTCACTATTGTTTATTATTAGCTCTGATATATTTCCAGCTAATTTTAAACGGGTACTGAAAATATTTTTCTAAAAACCTATTTTGACTACGCAGTCAACGTTTTTTTTTAATTATTTAGTAAAAGAAAGTTTAGAATAAATAAATCCTCTAAATCTTAAACTCTCAACCAAGTCATGACGTTGAAGAACAAACCCACCAAGCTTATAATTATATAATATTAAATCCAACTGTTGACTTAATGCCATGATATAATTTTGAGGCATTTATTACATTTAATTTCGTTATAAATTCTATGCGTCAAGTTCATAATTTATAGGATAAAATCGGTACATAGCAAGCAACTACAATCTGACTCAAAGCGGAGACAAATTACATTGGAACGTTTCGACAAATATTTCTTGAAAGACAATCGAATTTACGATCTCTTAAATATCAAAGTAATGACGGTTTGTGGCGTTGTGGAGCCCATCTTTTGTTTTTAAAAATGTAATAAAAAATGCAGTTATAGTTTATGGACATCCAGTATAACTCTAAGAATGATTTCTGAAACATTTTTTATGAAACTTCAAAAATATTAAGTGACGTCGAAATTCTAAGGTCCTCAGTTACAGTATTTCCCTGTACCTGCGTCACTGGTTGTTATAACCATAAAAATCAGCAGGGAATACTTCACTTGAACTAGTAGTCGGTATGTGACATTTTAAAACACCGCTTTTAGGGCCTAAATCCACAGGAACCTTTCTCCTGAAAATGATCTAAAAAATCGCCCCCTTTATTATCAGAACATACTTAAAAGCGACCCTCTGCAATTATTCTAACCTTTAGTTTTTTATAATTCCATTCATTATTCTATATATTCAATAAAATTACTTTAACATCGAAAAATGTAGCAAACAGTTTTAAAAAGTTATCTGCAGAATCTGGATAAAAACGTGAATATAAAAAACTGTTACACTTTGACCTTTCCACACTTTTTAATGAGTTTGATTGAAAACTGTCAATAACAGGGCTTGACATTTCTCTGCAGAAATGTAATTCGTAAGTCGCCAAACCTAAGGATATTTTTATGCGAGTGGGCAACGGGGTATCCACATATTAAATTTTTTCTTCGTAAATGCAGCCATCTGTATGCGAACGAAGGTTGTGGAAAGAGAGCAAAGCTTATTAACGTTTTCATTAGCTTTTTATATTTCAATTAAATTTCTAACTCTCTACTTCTTCCCAGGGAAGAAGAACAGTACAGACTCTTTTCGAACTTCCTGGTTGGATCAGAATCGAAAGAAATATATTAATAAATTGCTTAAAGTTGAACGGAATTCCTTTGCGTTTTCTATGCATATATTATAAAAAAAATAATAAATTGAGGCCGTTATTTGATCTCATACAGCGGACGTAGATATATGAAATTTATATAAACGAAATATATTATTTTTAGTGCAATAAAATTTTTATCCATCGCCGCTCCCATAAAACATATTTGCTAGACAGTAATATAAATATTCCTTTATATATTTCATTATATTTCTCCGGCAGATGTGAAACAAATTGCTTTTAACAAATTTTTCGCGGTCCACGTGGTGTATTTCACCACGCAGGGACAAAATTTTCAGCGTCAAGAGGAGGAATTTTTTACGGCCAATAGAGATTTTTTTGCACACTTAAATATTGCAGCAAATTCCATGTATTACCCTTTGAAAAATACTTAGCAAATGAAAATCCAAGTGATTTCCTTAACAATGTCTTTGCTTTGGAAATCACTTGGGTTTTCATTTACTAAGTTTTTTTCCGAAGGAAATATATGATATTTGCTGTAATATTGGAGTGTAAAAACAGCCTCTTTTTTCGCTCTCCTGGTTGGCCTACTATGTTCATAAGCGCTGTAGCTCGCAGAAAATATCCCACTTTGTATGTATATGCCAAACAAGCTCTGATTCATTGGTTTATGAAATGCAATACGTCTTGGAAACGTGTTATTGCGCCCGTTCTTCTGAGAAATTCGTGCCAAAGTATTTCCACTAACAATTGTTTTATAAGAACTGATTCTGGATGAATTGTCGACAGAATTTGGAGCGGGAATAGAATTTGAGTCATATACTGTTAGAGTAGGTGGTTCGATTGCAAAATAACATCCCAAAATTAAAAAGAAATGAGAAATCTTACCAATGATATTGTTAGATGTTAAGTTAAAAAAAGAATTACTACACCTTCCTTTTTTTTTACCCAGACCAGAGACCATCTTGAGTGCTATTAAATAATTTCTTCCTGGAAAATTTTTAATTGAGTTTTGAATTTATTAAAAAAGCTTGTAAAAATGTACACGAATCTTGTTCAAGAGAGAAATGGAAAGTAGCGTTAAAAGCTAATGTTAAATAAATAACTAAATTAACAGATTAAAAGAAAAAAATTTCTGTAATTGGAAGATGTGCCCTCTTTGTCTTAATTACAGTTAGATTTTGTGTTAAAAAAGGCTCTTCAGACATTTATAAAGCCTCAGTGATGTAGAGGAGTTTGTACTTTTCTAATTAGTGGAAGAATTTCATTATCAAACATCGTGAAATTCCTTGAATTCTTATTTCGCTAACTTACACTTTGAAATTGTTTTCCATGGTATTTTCCATGGTCTTCTGAAGACTTAACACATTACTTCTATTGCTACTCGATGAAAGAAGGCAAA